TGTTACTGACTCGAGGTGACCCGGCCTCGGTGTGTGTGGTCCGCGTTTAATCGTTCGGCCTCGCCTCGAGCGCGATATTCGAGTTCGTGTGTTCGAGGGAAAGAAAAAGGAGGAAGAAATTTTTCGAAACTTTTTTACCGAGCGACGGTAAGGAAGATCGAGAAAGCTTTATAAACGAACATTCGGGCGGGTCGCAATAAGAAGCTAGGTTTCGCCAAAACTAACCGAAAGGCCCAAATTTCCACGCTCTTAACGACCATATCCGTGTAACGAAAACGAGTGGCCCCGGACACGCGCTCTCCCCTCGATCGATCGTGGATGATAGGGTTGTTGATCACGGATCCCGAATTAATTCTTCGAGACAGAGGCCGAGTCTAGGAGCCGGTCTCTCACCCTTCTTGGCAGGAGAATCGCTGGAAAGGAGAGGAGGAAATTCGTTACCGAAATTCGGCAGCCTAGTTCGAACCTCTATTATTTTTTTTTACCGGCGTCTAATTCGACGTTTAGCGATTTAAACGTCGTTTTCTCCATCTTTTATCCACGGGACGACCCGTCCATATAATCACGACTTGCGAACTTGCGAATAAACGCAGCTGCTCTTTCTTTCTTTCTTTCTTTACTTTCGAATCCCCTCGAAATTTTTCGGAATTTTGTCGCCCATCCACGAGAAAGAAGAACCCGAACCTCGACGAATCAGTTTCCCTAAAAACGACAAACCCTTCCCTCCTTGCAGAAATTCTCCTTCTCTCCAGGATCGACCTCCCCTCGAGGGCCAGAAACGGAGGCAGGCCGCTCCAGTTCCGGCGTTCTCACGGCGAAAAAAACGGGTGCCGGCCCCGTGAGAGAGGCTACTTTCGAGAACGTTTTCGTGCGCTATGGTGGCGGATGGGGACCCGTGGTTGGCGTGATACCCTTTTTCGACCGCCTCTATCACCTGCACCCCTCTCCCCCGACCGCACACGAACACACACACACGCACGCGCGCGAGGGAGAAGAAGAGAAAGAGAAGGAGAGAGAAGAAGAAAGGAAAGGCAGGCTCAAGTGCGATTTCCTCTTTGTCCTTCCTTTTTTCCTTCCTCTTCTTCTTCTTCTTCTTCTTCTTCTTCTTCTCGAGTGGCCGTGATTACCGGGGCCAACGAGGAGGAGGCCGGGTGGGGGGGGTGAGTGGAAGGGATTCTAAGCCGTGGAGGTGGCGGCGATGTCGGTCGAGGCACACGAAACCCGAGAGGAGATGATATAGAAAGGAAGAGGAGGGGGAGAAAGGAGAGGAGAGGAGAGGAGATCTCGCGGAGGGGGTGTAGCAGAGAGAGAGCAGAGGTTACTTTTAATGTCTCGCGTCACGCAGCCCAAGGCAGCGTGAGCCTCGCCTCGCCTCGCCTCGCCTCGCCTCCTCGTCCTTACTAATTTGGCGCCAATTTCCAGCCAACCTCCCAAAGCAAAAACTAACCGGACCCATACATACACCCGTATGTATACGTCGTACACGTTGCGCCTCCTCCCCTGATTAAATGCTACTCGCTCGCTCGTTTCATCCCCTCCCCACCCCTCGTTTTCTTTTCGCTTCGCGCCGCGCTTTTTCTCCTTTCGCGACTCTTCTTCCTCTCCTCCTCCTCCTCCTCCTCCTTTCGACCCTCCGTCGTTCCCACACTTCGTCCTCGCACGCACTGCTTTTCGGCAGAATTTTTCGGATCGGGCGAAAAAAGAAGAGGAAGGGGGAGGGGGGAGGAAAGGTTGGAAGATCGATCGTTGAAAATCGTTCGAAACGAATTCGAGTAACGAGTTTTGAGAGGGGAGGGAGGGAGGGAGAGAGAGAGAGATTTTTTAACGATCGTTGCGTCGTTGGATTAGTTGAGAAAGAACTCGAAGCGAGGAGAGGAGGAGGAGGAGGAGGAGGAGGAGGAGGAGGAGGAGGAGGAGGAGGAGGAGGAGGAGGTAGGTTCGTTCCACGAGAGTACGAATATCGCGGAGGACGTCGATATGATGA